CCATCGGGGGGTGCAAAGGGACTGGGCGGATGAGATTCCCCAGCCATTAGCCATTATTTTTGAAAACTCATGGCGATCGGGGGAGTCCCGGATGACTGGAAAAAGGCTAATGTAGTGCCCATCTTTAAAAAAGGGAGGAAGGAGGATCCGGGGAACTACAGGCCAGTCAGCCTCACCTCAGTCCCTGGAAAAATCATGGAGCAGGTCTTCAAGGAATCAATTATGAAACACTTAGGCTACATCTACACTACGGGGGGGGGTCGATTTAAGATACGCAAATTCAGCTACGTGAATAGCGTAGCTGAATTCGACGTATCGCAGCCGACTTACCCCGCTGTAGGGACGGTGGCAAAATCGACCTCTGCGCCTTCCCGTCGACGGCGCTTACTCCCACCTCCGCTGGTGGAGTAAGAGCGTTGATTCAGGGATTGATTGTCGTGTCCCTACGGGATGCGATAAATCAATCCCCAAGAGGTCGATTTCTACCCGCCGATTCAGGCAGGTAGTGTAGACCTAGCCTTAGAGGAGAGGAAAGTGATCAGGAACAGTCAGCATGGATTCACCAAGGGGAAGTCGTGTCTGTCTAACCTAATTGCCTTCTATGATGAGATAACTGGCTCTGTGGATGAGGGGAAAGCAGTGGATGTGTTATTCCTTGACTTTAGCAAAGCTTTTGATACGGTCTCCCAGAGTATTCTTGCCGCAAAGTTAAGGAAGTATGGGCTGGATGAATGGACTGTAAGGTGGATAGAAAGCTGGCTAGATCGTCGGGCTCAACGGGTAGTGATCAATGAAGGAGCAATGGTCTCAAGTTGCAGTGGGGGAGTTCCAGGTTGGATATTAGGAAACACTATTTCACTAGGAGAGTGGTGAAGCACTGGAATGCGTTACCTAGGGAGGTGGTGGAGTCTCCTTCCTTGGAGGTTTTTAAGGCACAGCTTGACAAAGCCCTGGCTGGGATGATTTAGTTGGGAATTGGTCCTGCTTTGAGCAGGGGGTTGGAGTAGATGACCTCTTGAGGTCCCTTCCAACCCTGATATTCTATGATTCTATGATTTTTGAATTTCTGACCAGCTTGGTTTGAAGCAATAAAGTAAAATAATTCCTCATATTTAAGCAAACTTGAAATATATTTCCAGTGTTATACAACAGAGATACAAACTATATTTAACTATGGAAATGCCTCCTTTTGAGCCTGTGGTCTGGGCTCCTATCATTCCATAATCTTGCAGCCAGGGCAATACTGAAGAGAACACATGAATGAAACCTCTTGAGAGAAGCTAAACTTGTATTACAAAAGATGGCTGAAAGTTTCACTGTGTTCAAGTGTCAGATAACTCTAGGATAGTTGCAGTGGCTACATCGCTAGAGTAGGTTGTCAGAATTAACCAAAGCTCCAAACATTATGTATACTCTTACTTTTAGTGAGGATGGTGAGTAAAGATTGAAAACAGAAATCTCTTGTGGTCAATACTAGTTATGTAGCTATCGTTGTGGTGATTTGTTTTCTCTTGTAAATTCATATTTCTGGGAAACTATTTTTCCAATTTATTTAACAGGCAGAAACCATACTGAAAGCACTGGAGGCAAGACTGTCTGTAGTTGAATCAAGTTTTGCATCACGTCATAACAGCTGAAAGAAACTTCATGTATGTAGCTTATTACTGGGAACACTTCATGGAAAGCTTGCTTTCATAATCTCCAGAATCTGTTGGAGTGCTGCAAAAACCTTCCAGTGAATAGCACAAAAACTTCATCAGTCTTTCTAATGGAATAAAACACTGACTTGTGGGATGATGTATGTAAAATTAAAATATTCCCTTCTGCTGACATCCATGCTACCTTTATATTTGGTGTGTGTATATATATATATATATTTTTTTTTTCTGTCTCCCTGCCCATGCTCTGGGTAACTTCTACTTAGTTAAATAGATTCTCCTGAAGCTGACTAGTGCTGTTTGGATTTCAGCAGGCATGACTAGTATCATGGTATAACTTGGGTAGCGTCATCCAAAATTATCTGCTGAACTGACATCTATTCAGTTTCCTAAAACTAAAGTAACAAGCTAACCCTGAACTTTCTTGGAGAAATGATGATTGAATTGTTCATCATTTTGTTTTATTTTTACAGCCTTCCCTTGACCTGTGCTGCTAGGCATTGAGCAGTAGGATTTAAATGTAGCAGGTTCTGCATTCTAGCCTTGGGCTGGCCAGAATTTATTAACTTTCTTTACTGGAGACTTTAAAAAAAAAAACTTTAGCATAGAACATCTTGGAAAAAATGCGGTTATTGTGGAGCTTAAAAAAATATTGTGAATAGCCCTTCAACCTTGTTTGAGATGAAGAACAAGTTTAAAATATAAGCTAAACGCAATACATTTAGTTAAGTGCTCTAGTCTGAGTGTTATCTGGTTCTGATATCAATTTTGTAATTGTTTGATTTTTATTTAAAGGGTTGTTCTAATATATTGCAAAACTTAGAATTAGTTTATAAATTTGTTTATGAAACCAAGATACTTGGGCAATCAATGTAAAATGTTTAAAGTCTTGTAAATACATTTCTAATAAAACTAAAAAGAAACTACATCAATGATTTGCTGGCTTTCTTACTTCAGGACTTGGTGCACTTTCTGTCCCTTGAAACTTTGTGCAAATGGTCAAACTGTACAACACTTTTTTGTTCCAAGTAAAACCTAGGCTGTGGTAGTTAACACAGATTTGTCAGCAGGCAGCAGCACGTTCTATTCATAACCAATCAGTGAAAGCAAATCATGGTCCATATCTCCATTTGTCTGTTTCTCTTTCAAATAAACAATGAACACCAGTTTATTTGCAAAAGGCTCTCTCATAGATTAGATTATAATTGGGCTATAGCTAATTTGTGGCTGCATTATGTAAGGTGCAACTCAAATTAACTGCTTCACTGAAATTATTTCACTAGTAGGAATTGCTATATAACTTCTCCAAACTTGAATGAAATTATTTTCCTTCAGCATTAGCCATGTAAGATTTTTTTTTCTTTATCTTCTGACCACAACAGTTTTTTACTTTTTCCCTTACCCTTTTAAATACTCTTCTTGAGTAATCAACTGTCATGGCCCATAGTGATTATTTTTGTCCCTCCTCAGTGTTACTTTACTGAAGTTGAACTTGTGTCTTGTTGTCAGATAATATTTAGATGCTGCTTCAAGTGCTTTTCTATTTGTGTTCCACTGTTGGTGGGCATGTGCCCAACGCACTCTGGATTCTTTGGGCCACACCTGTGGCCTGAGTGTCTTTGTCCCTCCTCCCTGATGGCATTAAAGGCTGGACCACCCCAACTGCCCCTCAGTTCCTTCTCACTGCTAGTGGCTATGAGTCAGAACTTGCAGTGTTTTGAGATTTTTTTTTTTCTCTCTTTGTGGTCTATTCATTGTATTGTAAATAGTTCTAAACCTAGATACCTAACATGAATGGTTAACTAACTGCTAGCTTTAGATATTTCAAGTGTTTACTTTCTATTTTTAAGAAGAAACTTCTTCTCTTTGCCTGTGAGACTTCACAAATCTCTAGGCTTCAAAAATTGCCCTTTGTATAAGGCAGCAATGCCTCTTAATGATGGACATACCAGATGCTTGTGAGGGGGCTGCACACTGTGTAGCTTCTGTAGGCTGAGTTTATTATATACCAGGGGCTCCTTGCATTCCTCCATTCCACCCCACAAATGTTGTGTGTGCCACCCTCCAGTTGCCCTCCTGCCAAGGATTCTGTGTACCTAGTCCCCATATAACAGGGACCAGCATTTTCTCCCTGTGCCCTCCTCACAATTTTTTTATGTGGGAGATTTGTATGGTGACACCTTCACAAACTTAATTATTGGGAGGATGAGCAGAGGTGAGATGGAGTATTGTTCTGCTGGAAGGCATTAATAGGTGCCATAAGTTCGATCTCTAGACAATTGCAGAGGTGCTTGAAGCTATGGCTATGCTAAATAGACAGCAGGCACTTCAGATGTCCCCCATTTTTCTCCTGGTTTTCTGACTCTTCCCCCCTCTCACCCTCCCCAATCATCAGGATTCCAGCCATTGATGCCTAGACTAGTACATTCCCTAAAATGTTGGAATTGACTGGATTTGGCCATTCGAGGTTTATCACGTTATATACAGACAAAAAAAAAATGCCACAAGTTGAATGTACAGCTTTCAGAAGTTTGGCCAGTTTTTGTTTTAGTGAGGGGCACTTCCGTAAAGTGTCCTCAAAGGGAACCCAAAGGCTAGAGAATTTCACTTGAAGTTACTTCTAAAAAGGTCAATGTGTCCTTCAGACCCTGGAGTGGCTGGGACTGAAAATCCAGACCACCCATCCTCAAAAAGTACTCATAGACTTTAAGGTCAGAAGGGACCATTATGATCATCTAGTCTGACCTCCTGCACAACACCGGCCACAGAATCGCACCCATTCACTCCTGTAACAAACCCCTAACCTTTGCCTGAGTTATTGAAGTCCTCAGATCCTGGTTTAAAGACCTCAAGGTGCAGAGAAGCCTCCAGCAAGTGACCCGTGCCCCACGCTGCAGCGGAAGGCGAAAAACATCCAGGGTGTCTGCCAATCTGCCCTGGAGGAAAATTCCTTCCCGACCCCAAATATGGCGATCAGTTAAACCCTGAGCACGTGGGCAAGACTCACCAGCCAGCACCCAGGAAAGAATGCTCCCTTTTTCCTTTTCTGCTTGCGCTTCTGAAGCAACTACTTCTAAAGATTCTTCCTTGGCAAACCATTAAAATTTCAGGGCTTAGGGGGGAAGAACGAGCACAGACTCAAAAGGCAAGAGATCTAGACCCACTAACTTAATCAGACTTTATTGAGGTAGCTTTTCCAGTCAGTGTCAGTGTTGCCAGCTGCTGTTCTGCTGCAGTGTACAACTAACAGCCTAGATTCAGACCTGCTATGGGGGTGTGTGTATATAGTATTCCCTGTAGTTGAAATTACATATTTTATCACAATGATCAACTAGTAAACTCCATCTTCAGTTAATTAGTAGTCAATGCAACAGCCAGATTAAAGGTAATATCCAAAGAATTTTTTCTGTTTAGATGTAAAACTGTTTTAGTAAATATGAACACTCAAAATCTTAAATATTGTAGTTGAGTTAAGACCCACATATGTCTGTATTTTAAAAGTTACAGCTATCACTTTCAATATACTGTGAACCATGGTATGTTGTCTCTATGAAGTTATGGTATTGCTCCTTGCTTGATAGGCAGTATGTGTTTATTGGCAACTGTTCCTGCGTTGCTTTAGTTCTCTCCTGCCCCCTCAGTTTCTCTCCCTGAACCCAGGATAAACTGACATCTATTCAGTTTCCTAAAACTAAAGTAAGCTCAGCTTTATGAAGGGGGTCACATTCAAAATTCGTTATTCTAAATTTCTTGAACTTGTCCTATGTGCTCATGAGAACGTGTCAGGGATGGTGTAGGTATACTTTGGTCCTGCCTCTCCAGTGGGCTGCACTTGATGATCTCTTGAGGTCCTTCCAGCCTTGCATTTCTATGATTGTCATTTATGCTTGGTCAGCTCTGAAAACAGTGTACAGTTAACACAGGAGTGATTTCAGTGATTTAGGCATGTTTTATTTTGTAGTTCATCTTTTGAGTATATGCATCTAAAAGCAGATATATCCTCTAAAGAAGTTTTTCTATTGACATAAGGATTACATATTGAGATCTCAGTTTCAAAGTGATCTGGTCTGGAATACAGGTAGATATATTCTGGGGTGGAAAAGTGATAAAACTAGTAATCAACAATAGACACTTAAGCAATCCACTACCAGAAAGAAATGAGGCTGAGGAAGATGTTGACCAGAGGTGTAGTTTGACTTCTATATTTGGGAGGGGCAGCTCCAGCCAGGCCAACGGGCCTGTGTGTGGGGGGTCAAATTTGGTGCCTGTCTGAGGCTTGCGGTGTTGGGCCTGCTGTGGAGTCACCGTGGGCCTGCAGAGCCAGGCGCCTGTCCCAAAGTTTGTTGATGTCTCGCACAGGGACCCCGAGGACTCAATCTCTGTTCCCTTTTGGTTATGTGGTGCAGCTTGCCAGGCCAAGACAGGAGGGAGAGGAACTGTGTATGTTTGTGTCTAATGCATGTGCATCTATTAGCGTGTCCCTGTGGGCACGAGAAATGCAAAGAGAGAGGGGCTGACCCAGTGACATGTGTCTGAGTATCTGTACACACAGACATGGCACATCTTGCACATGCTGAAGCCAGTTCCCCTGGATCGCTGGCTTTCTCCTCCTTGGCTGGAGTGGAGGGTGCTCCCGTGTCTGTGATGGGCTGTGCATTACTTGGTGGTGGCGGGAGATGAGCTGGTTTAGCAGGGGAACCCCTGCTGCTGTTGCTGCTGTCCACTATGGTTATAAACCTCAAGTTTAGGCTTGAAATTAGACAAAGGTTTCCAACCATCAGAGAAGTGAAGTTCTGAAACAGCCTTCCAAGGGGAGCAGTGGGGGCAAAAAACCTAACTGGCTTCAAAACTGAGCTTGGTAAGTTTTTTGGAGGGAATAGTATGGCAAGTGGCCCATCTGTGACTGCCACTAGCAAAAATCCCCAACTGCTGGAGGGAGTGCTCTGTTACTACAGATAATTCTTTCCCAGGTAATTGCCTGGTGGGTCTTGCCCATGTGTTCAGGGTCTAACTCAATGGTTCTCAAACTTCTGTACTGCTGACCCCTTTCACATAGCAAGCCTCTGAGTGTGACCTCCCCCCCCCTTGTAAATTAAAAACACACTTTTATATATTTAACACCATTATAAATGATGGAGGCAAAGCGGGGTTTGGGGTGGAGGCTGACAGCTTGCGACCCTCCCCCCCCCCCATGTAATAATCTCGTGACCCACTGAGGCATCCTGACCCCCAGTTTGAGAACCCTTGGTCTAACTGATTGCCATATTTGGGGTTGGGAAGGAATTTTTCCCCTGGTCAGATTAGCTGAGACCATGGAAGTCTTTTCCCTTCCTTTGCAGCATGGGGCACAAGTCACTTGCAGGTTTAAACTAGCTTAAATGGTGAATTCTCTGTAACTCAAAGTCTTTAAAGCATGATTTGAGGACATCAGTAACTCAGCCAGAAGTTAGGGGTCTGTTTCAGGTGTGAGTGAGGTTCTGTGACCTGCAATGTGCATGAGGTCAGACTAGATGATCACGATGGACCCTTTTGACCTTAAAGTCTATGAGACCTGAGTGTGGGAGCTACAGCTGCTCTGTCACCAGCTGCTGCAGCTGGACTTACTGCTGCCTTTTTTTCTGGTGCCTCCCAGGCCTGCCCGGTCACCTTCCTGCGGAGGCGGCTGCTGCTGTATTTCATGGTGCAAGTGGATGCCGCATGCCAGGCTCCTGCTTCCCTGTGTGGGCTCCACCCGGGATTGCCAAACAGCCAGCACCCCAGGCTGCTGGGGGGCAAAGAGGAGGAAGTTGGGGGTCAGGTGAGCTACTGGCAGGGGCCTATCCCAGTACATTAAGATAAGTGCACTGAGTCTTGCCTCCCTAACCACAGCGCCCACCCATAAGGCAGGCCCTGTTGTGTGGGGCAACACCTCTCCCCACTTTCCCCCCA